CATGGTGGGGCAGTGGTTAGCACTGTCATCTCACAGCAAAGAGGCTCCGGGTTTGAGCCCCCGCCAACTTGGGGCCTTTATTGTGCGGAGTCTGCATGTTCTCCCTGTGCCTGCGTGGGTTCTCTCCAGATACTCTGGCTTCCTCCTACAGTCCAAAGACATGTCACTTAGGCTGACTGGCGACTCTAAACTGCCTGTAGCAGTGAGTGTGAGTGTGTGGACCAAGACCAGGTTGTGATACTTATTAAGACTGCTTAAAAATGAGCTTATTATTCAATAATGAAATTAATTTCAACTTTAGGTTGAAATGATATGAATGAATGAAAAGGTTCCACTTTATGCAAATTAATTTCATGCTGATGGAGTAATCAGCAAATCACGTCGGCTCTAGGATTTTTAACAGCACTTGATTAAATCACTTTCTGTGTCCCTGTACTTGGGTCTTCCTTATAAACACTGATAAAGATCGCAGGTGATGTAGTTACGTTTGGGTAAAGATTGTGACTTTTTTAAAATAAGAAAAATAATCTAACAATGAACAGTTTAATATAGTATAGTACATAGTGTAAGTTTTATGCCCAATTTAATTTTTGGCATAAGTGCTGATATAACGTTAATTCCCCATTCACAGGTGAGACAGTCTTGTTGGAGATGCTATGATGCCATTCACTGCAAATGAAATGTTAAAAACTAACTATGATGACTCATACATTCAAAAAGCATCTAATGTCGTGACATAGGGATGTTAGGAAAGGTTCAACTTTATGCAAATTACCATATACAGGAGCAGCAACAGTGACAACCGACGGTGCTCGTTTGATGCTCTAGTTTAAAATAAAAATGTGGTTTTTCCCTGAATGTAAAGAACTTCAAACAAAGTAAAAGAAACAGGCATATACTTGAATAATCATGCATGGAAAAACAGCGGTGTGAAAATACACTGTCCACCTGGAGCTGACTGTGCATTGAATGTACACAGTGCAAACTCACAGGCAACAACACAAGATTCAGCTACAACAGCACCTCTAGCTTCAGGCTTGTAAGAGACAAGACAGTTCTTGCCACTTTAAATTCATATCGGATCACAGCTACTGCCCATCTCCTGAATGCCAAAGTGCTTCACCTACTTTTCAGTACCTTTCTACTTGGAATAGAAAACATACAATATTTCCTTGCTTTTTGTGAATACAACATGCATTTGCATTTCAAAACATCACTGAATTATTTAGATAAAATTTATGAAGATAATGCTAAGAAATCCACGAGAATCAAAGGTAAAAGAAACAAAGAAAAACTGCAATCACCCTGTCAGCCAATCGGTAATCTGAGTCACGAGTGTAATCAGGAGTGGCTGCTGGATCTGCCATGTCCTGCTGGCGAGCTGGTGATTGCCCACTGGAGGAGGTGGGGTTGGAGCAGGGAGGGTAACAGTACAACCAGCAAGATTCATGACAGTTTCCTGCAGAACCTTGTGGACTGATTACACGTCCAAGAAAATGCATGTGGCATACGGATATTAAATCAACACAGCTTATTGCTATGCCAGTGTAGGGGTGAGCCTGAGCGTGGGCAAAATGCATCTGCAGCTCACCCCTATCAGTACTTGAGGCAGTGTGAGAATTACATTTCTATGGGGACTCCAGATGAGTTAGGCAAGCTTCCTTTCCATGGCAATGATTAATAGTGATGGTGCCATAAATTGTTCTGTCTGAGAAATATATTGCAGCCACAGTAAGTGTTGTTTTGCACTGGGAGGCCACTGTGCCTTTGAGGCCAGTGGCTGGATAAGCAGTCAACAACAGAGTGCAGATCCAGAAAAATGCCCTTGCCCTACAGCAGAGCTTTTTCTTGACCCGGTCTTGGCCTGTAGTAAATGTACTTAATTACATTGAATCACTGACAGCAGCAAATTAATGCATACATCAAGTTGTGTTTATATTTGGGTTTTCTCAAAGATATTTTCAACGATATAGGCTTTGCCCTTTGTGTATTTTAAACTGACAATTAAGTGATATCAAATTTGTTAAATAATGTATAAATTAAAGGGAAAGTCATACACCCCTTTAACTCTTCTTAAGTCATAATTAGGGTTTTTGAATTACTCCTGAATGTACCCTTTGTACATTTTCACTACTAAATTAAGCAGCAGTTTGTGATGATTTAAGGGTTTCATGTTTCTGCCCATACAGTATTTAAAAGATTACATCTGTAAGAAAGTATTCAAATCCATGCAGAAACATCTAAATGCATTAAAATTGCATGAATTGATTTTTGGCCACTAGAAAAGCATAAAGGTGACAAACATACAGCCACCACATACCGGATCAGGGCTTATAAAGCTGTTATGGCTATCATGTTAACAAAGAGATACCTATACTTCCATCAGACATGAACCAGTGTTAACAGTAAGTTGAATTTGGGTCACCAAAGAAATATCACAGCCATACAGTAGAAGTTGTAAAAATGAAATTAAATCAATGAGCTGCAGGGGATGAAAAGCTCCACAGTCACATGGATTAACATTAGGGTTAAAATGCAGATTAATGTAACATTTTAAACAAAAAATGTGCACAGCTTGTATAATAAATTACTTTGATATAACCCAGTATCAGATCACAATAATCTGTCTTGGCCTCTAATAGGTCCTGATTTTCTCTGGCCATTGTTTTGGCTCTGTCTCAACTCCTTTGGGCCTGATTTTATGCAGACTTGGAATGAGGCCAGGCCATCCTGACTGCAGTGAGGCCTGACTGACAGTTTCCTCAACACATACAAGTAAAGAGTCTGGCTGCAGCTCCAACTCCATTTCTGACTGAAACTCACACAAAGTGAAAAATGACAGTGATGCACCCTTTACTTATCCGCATGATAAGTGCTATAGATTTTTGTGTTAGCTTATTGATGAACTGACTAAAAGTGAGTTATTATGCACTTTTCCAATTGCCTGTTAAGCAGAAACTCCAGAGCACTCAATCAAACTACAGCCACAAGCTACACGTTGATCAATGGAAACAACAACTGAGATTTTTCTTTACTATCAGGCTGCTTGGCCTGAAGCAAGTGCTAACTGTCAAGACAATATAATCACATGCAGAGAATGTGAGAAAGCTAACAACTGAAAACTCTCATCCTTCTGTCCTTCAAAGCTGAGATGACAGAAGTGCTCTCCAATCCCTCAGATGACACTGCATCAAGAATCGTCACTCTTCTGTAAGTGATATAGCCACATGGGCTCAGGGTTACTTTGGTACTACAATACATAGTTAGATCCATAAATGCTGCTTAAAACTGGAGTGTGCCAAAAGGAAGCCCTATGTCAACAGTGTCCAGAAGTGCAGTCGACTGCTCCGGGCTTAGAGGCATCGAGGATGGACCACCACACAGTGGAAATGTGTACTGTGGTCAGACCAATCAGTATTTCAGGTCTTTTTTGGAAGGAATGAATGCCGTGTGCTCCGGACCAAAGACAAAAAGGACCATCCAGACTGTTACTAGTAAGAGTGATGGACATGGTTCCAGTCCACAAATAGGTGTCCATGGGCAACTGTATTCTGTACAATATACCACTGGAATAGGCTCCAACCCCATTTGACCCTGACCAGCATAAAAAAGAAGAAGAAATAAATAAATGAAGCCAATAAAGATGTGAATGTTTTCACAGATTTGTATCACAAACAAGTGTTAAAACAGAAGTGGCGGAATCAGCAGCTTGCCCCTTGCTGGCTCTAATTTGTCAAAGTGAAGCATCAGACGCCTGAGATGTGTGATATGAATCACACTAATAGCTGCTTCTTCTTGTCCAAAGACAAATTATTCACATCAAACAAGTGCATTTTCTGAATAATGTCCTGGTTTTTAAGCTAAAGGATCCTGTTCCTCTCATATAGTAACAAGTAATAATTGTCCATGAATGTCCTTTCTTTAATGTGAATGTAAAACAAATTGTCTTGTGTTGCTTCACAAATATCACAGTATTAGATTTTATGGGGATAGGCAAATTAAATAGGCCTGTATAAATGTGTATACATCACAGTATATAAATCTATGCCAGGAGACCTACTTGATGTTATAATGGCATTTCCATCACATAAATTATAAATTAGATGCCTCTAAGGCATTCAGTAGAGCAAATACCCCAACCAGTAACTTGACAACAAATGCCAATTTCACGTCAGAATTTCATTGCAGATTGAAATGTTGTTTCCATGCCTCATTACCAATCTGTTTCACATGAGTGGGGATGGACACATTTTCCTGACTGTGTCTGAAATGGAACATGAAGTATCCCTTTTAAAATTCTTGTCACTTTTATGGGCTTAATTGTATTGTCTGCTCATTAACATCCTTCTACAGCTGTAAAAATATATAAAAAAAATAAAAATACATGGCAGTTACATCTATACAAAATGTGCTAAAATTGCTTTTATGATGCTTAATTGGTCCGGCAATAGAGGATGTGCATCTTTTTGATCTAGAAATATAAGATTTGATTATATACGTAACAGCAATCTATTCTGTATGCCCGTTAGTGAGAGGTAATGCCCATATATATAGTATATATGTGATTTCGGAACTTTTTATGAAGTTAATGGAATAACTATTAATGAATAACTATTCGTGATAATGTTTTTGAAAGCACTGTCACTTTACTTTCAGTGCCTACTGTAAAACATTTAGACAGCACTGTACGCATGAACTAAAAAGTACTGAATTTAGAAGTCATTAGTCAAATATAGCCTACAGAAATGACATTTCAAGTATCCCTGTATATGATATTCAGCCAGTATTAGAGCCTGATGTATTCTGCCTCGGATGACATTTCAGAATCACAATCAGCTTTATTGGGTAGGTATGCTGAACACGAGGAATTTGACTCGTGGCTCTCAACGTGCATGTGCAATGTACTTCCGTAAGGTAACGAGGAACCGAGAAAAAGAATGAGCAATTAATTGTTTGTTTGTTTGTTTGTTTGCACCTAGCATTAGGCATGTTCCTCGAATAGGGCTATTTTTAGTATGGCAGTATGTGTACGTTTGACACGTTTGTGTTGTCGACGTAAAGAGTGTTACGTTCAAACTACGGCTTGCGTCACAAAATACTTCCGGTCATCAAGGTAGGCTCTTCTGGCATAAATACCACAAAAAAATAAATAAATAAATAAAAAAGTGACGAAGCATTTGCATCGTGTAACCACTCGGCAGTGTGGTGTATAGCCTCAGACTGTTTATACATTAACCTTATGTTTCATCTCAGGCAACATTTCGATTATCTTCTGGTTGTGTGTTGTTTTTCTTCCATGTTTCCTCGAGCAGGATGTCTTCCTAGAGCGGCATGGACCGGCTGCCGAAGAATATTATCGCTAGCTTTACCAGTTACAGTAATAGCTGTTAGCAAGTTAACCTACCATAGACCGTCATAAACGTAATTGTACCTGTAAGATCGTGCAGTTAACGTTAGTAAATAATACAACAAAAGTGGACTGAATTTTCAGTTCCTAAAAAGTGTCCCATTCGCATGCTTACCCAAAGGCCGCGTTTCCCTATAATCTCACATAATTCGAATTCCGATCTATTTAAAAGTGCCTTTCTCATCGATAAGCATGCGTTGCCTATTGTCCTTACGATTCAGTAGTTTCAACTAGCAATTTCGGCATAAGTGTGAGCCATCAACAATGCATAATTTAATTTAAAATCATCTACTTTTAGCATGCCTGTCAACGTTAGCTAACGTTAACTACCTTTGTGATATTCTACTAGGTTAGCTGTTACTTGCGGTGGGCGGCACTTAGAAATTTTTTTATTTAATAGAGACAAATACCAGGAAGTGTATAAAACATACACCGAATTTACAACAAACTGTCCCTGTTTCATTAAGCTTTACCTGTCGTGTTTTACGAAGCGTTGTTTGTTTCCATGTTAGTGAGCCGTCTAGATATTACCAGATCTTTAATGACGTTTGGCGTATCGCTTATCCACATTCCACCTGAGCTAACCAGTCATAACGGCGAGAAACGTGACTTCCTAGTCTTCGATTACCTGTCACATAAACCTTAATGAAGTTGTAGACCAGATGTTGCAAGGAGTAAAACAACGCCGTTTAAAACTCAGTAGCCACGACTATAACAAGCCATATAGAAATGTGCATTTTCAGACCAGCTGTTATCCTCCAGATAGATATTATTTTGATGCTGAAAGCCTTCAGTTCATCTATTGTAGTGATATCTGCACATTCTGTATCTAAAGTTATTACGTGAACCTGGATATTTTTTGTTCTGTTAATCCTTGTTGTGTGACAGTTAATCTCCAGTAGATCCTAATGCACAACAGTAGACCAAATGCCTTGTGATTTGTCTTTTTCAGAATGGGGAATTTTACATCCTCCACTACTAGGGGTCTGTCAAATGCAGCCTGTGCACAGTATGTTCAGGCAAGTAGTGACATGCAGATCTGTTACCAGCAGTCACATCGCTAAACCCTTTGATACAGTGGAGTCATTTCGATCTCTCTGCAGCCTGAGCAGTAAAATGGGCATTACAAGCTAGAGACGTTTCAGTAATTTCTAAAGACATCTTTGGTATCTAGTTTGACATTTTGATACCCTGATGTTTACTGCAGTCCACAACATTTACTTGTTGGTTGCTTGGTTTCTTTGCATCTTTTGTCAGTTTTTTTCCATTTTATTTAGTTCAATATCTGTTATGAAGTGCACCCGATGTAAAATCTGTAATGCTATATGTAAAGAAACAAGATCTAAAAGCAGACACGGCTGTGAAATAGTCAGCATAATGTGATGCTGATTTGCAGGCCCTTGCCCATTTTTAAGCATTTTCCCACATGAGGAATTGAGGGTAAAATTTGAATGATAACTTTTAGAATATGTACAGTATGATTTTAGAAAGTTGTTCAGTTGTAGATGCTGAATGTGTTAAGTTGTAATTTATGCCGGTGTTGACTCACTGACTAAAAATAACCATGGAGATTTTTAATAAAAATGTAGAGTTAAGATAGCTTTCACCTTTGCCCAGCAAGTCACTTGATGCCTGACATGTGGAAGCTATTTCCACATTTTACTGATATTTAATTAAATCTTATTTTTCATTACCTTTCAGGAAGAGGTGTCACAAAACTGTGTTGTGATATTTTCCAAGACCACTTGTCCTTATTGCACAATGGCCAAGAATGTATTCAACGAAATTGGTGCAATCTACAAAGTGATTGAACTGGATGAGCACAACGATGGGACGAGGTTGCAGGAGGTCTTAGCTCAGATGACCGGTGCCAGAACAGTAAGAACGTCATGTTGTGTTTTGGGGTCGGAATTTCAAGTAAATTCAAAGCCTATAATTTTAGCATCTAATAAAAAGAGAATCAAAACAAGGATGTTGGACAGCTTATTTGTTCTGGCAGCTCTGCATTCCAGCTAAATTTAGGTCGGCTTGACTTGTGTTATTGTTAGGGCTGTAGCCAAGAATTAGGACCTTGTCTTGACAGAGAATAGCTGAATCTGAACTGAAATAAAGACCAGAAAAAGTTGCATCTTTTCCAGACTTAATCTTTAATAGGGGGAAATATTTAACATTTAGTGGAAATAGCATTTGAGTGTTTTGTAAAACACTTGGTTCTAAAGATATAAACATGTAGGTACATTTACCTGTCTGGAAAAATGCCACTTTTAAATACAGTAAACACTGTATAATATAATGTACACAGGACCTAATCATAACAGGGCTTGAAAGTTGCAAATGCAGAGCTTTAGAATAAACGATAGTTTAAAAAAACATGGATTTCTGCACATGTGCCCATTTTATTTTGAACTTTTATCTTATTTTACTGCCGCCTTGCTTTTCCTCTGCTTTTTCAAAAGCTGTGAAAGTTGTTAATGAGTTTTAAATGTTAAAATAGGCACAACCCAGATTTCAGAAGTATTTTTGGTTAAGTGGTAGCTTAATAAATTGTTGCTTCCTTGCTTTAGTGACTGACGTTAATGGCTAGTAAAACAAATCTGTATTGTACTTTGCTATCCTGGTGAAACACAGGCAGGCAAAAAAGTATGGATAGACATAACATGTTGATTAAAGTTTATAATTCAACACAATGTGAGGAAAATCAGATAATATATTATCAGGTAATATATATTAGTAGCAAATTAAAAATACAGATGAAAAAGAACTTTTCTAAAGCTCTACCATGAAACAAGGTTTTAAGCTTTGACTTTCAATAAGCTCTCATTGACACTGTGCTAATGTTGCGATATGATTTGTGTGCTTAGGTGCCGAGAGTCTTCATTAATGGAAACTGCATCGGGGGCAGCTCTGATACAAAACAGCTGCACCAGCAGGGCAAGTTAGTGCCCCTGATTGAACAGTGTGCACCCTGCTGTACTGCGAACAGCTCTGAAGGCTCGGGCAGTGGACAGTTTGCATCTGCTAAATGACTAACCGTTTTTCTAGTTTTCTGTAACCCTGTATTTATTACTGTAAGTATGTTATTTGTTTCATACTAAAAGTTGTACATTGCTTAAGAACGGCAGTGTTATTTATTTATCAAAGAACACACAATTATGTTCAAGATGCATGCATTTCATACAAGCCATGTTTTAAACAAAACCTGTGAATGGTGGAGCTACTTGTCGTACTCTTCCACTGTTATTTTATTGAACAGTATTTTAATCATAAAAAGCATAAACTCTAAGCATTAACCATAATCAAACTGAACATCACCGGGTTTATGAAGTATTGAAAATATGATTCAGTACTCACCTTTGAATGGAGTTTGTTTTCATTCATTTCAATTCAATTACAAGTTTGATACACTTTTTTTTAATGATTAGCTTGTTATTGTTCTGAAATATTTCATCGTATCTTATTGGGCTATTTTCACTGGGTAGGTAAAAAAAAGGTAATGGGTGTTTTTGCACATGTTTTTCACACTTCGTATTTACCATCAGTCTTACTGTGGCAGGGAAAATGCTGTTGTAAAGTCTTGTTCTGTGTGTGATGATACTGTCTGCTCTGCAGGACAGTATCATCACTTTAGCAGTAGCTGTGCTTTTATCTGAATTGCTTTAATATTAGGTAGGTGGTTGATTTATTAAATAAGTGAATGGACAAGGGGGAGTGCTATATATATGGAGAGAAACATTTAGGCATAAAACAATATATTTAATGGGGAAAAGATAGTCAAAACTGCACCAGTGGTGTAGCATTCCAGAAGATGAACACATTATTATGCATTGTTATAAATATAATTCAGAGAGGTAGACAATGAAGGGGATTGTGTGTGAAGCAGGAGGAGTGGTGCTTAAAATCACTATTGTGTACAGAGAAGAGATTTGGACAATTAAAAGGGGATTCATCTGATTTTTTTTTTTAAATTCCCAGGGATCAGATAATTTAATGCAATGATTCTACATACTCCGATACACTAGGTGGCAGTTGATTCGCAATCCGCCCGGAAAACGAAGTGAAGAAGAACCAACGTTTGTCGTAAGATATTAATAGCTTGTGTATGTACACAGTAGGGTGAATAAACTACTTCATAAAAATGGCTGGAAGCGCAGGAGAATGGTGTCTGATGGAGAGTGACCCCGGGGTGTTCACAGAGCTGATAAAAGGCTTTGGTGAGTGAATCTTAACGTTAGCTGCTCGTTCAACGCAACGTGGCTATAGGACAGCGCTAGCTAGCTAGCTAGCTTCTGTTGAGCTGTGGATAACTCCTAAATTAGATACTTATGATTTCATGTATAAAAGGAAAAAATGCTATGACGATGAAAGCACAATATTTGAGAAGTTATGCATTTTTAGAAAGCGTCATCGCACACTGTGTTGTGCAGAATGTTGCATATATCGAATGGACAGTTTGGCTTAATTAGGCAGGCTAACTAGCTAGCGTTATTCAGCGTTCAAAACAACGGCGCGTGAAAACCTGACCTGTAACTTATGAATGATGACATTTGTTGTGGTTTGCTGTGCTGTCAAACAAACACCGAGGGAAGCGGCTCACTCAGATAGTATTTATTACTGGCCACGTAGATGGTACTTAAACAATTATTACAAGTGTGAATGACTGATTATTTGTCATTCTCAGGCTGCAAAGGAGCCCAGGTTGAAGAGATATGGAGTATGGAGCCAGAAAACTTTGACAACTTGAAGTATGTTTATACATACTACTGTATTATCTTGTACGCACCACATAAGAACACGACTTTTAATTGATATGTTCGGTCCCAGGCCAGTTCACGGGTTGATTTTCCTGTTCAAGTGGCAGCCGGGTGAGGAACCAGCAGGATCGATTGTCCAAGATTCAAGACTTGACCACATCTTCTTTGCAAAACAAGTACGTTTTTATTATAAAAGTGGCAGTACCTATCTGCTTCTATACATCTTATTTGACACTTTGCTTCTTCTTGGTTTATGTTTGTGTGTGCCCTACACATTACTCTCTTAATTAAGTAATTAATTGCTTGAAAGATGTTCAAAAACATTGTGAAACATGCTTATCACAATTTTGTAAAGCCCAATTAAATTACCAGTTTTTCTCAATAAACAGTCCACAATCAAAAATCTTTTAGTTAACAAAGAATATAAAGTCATCTCTAATCAGGAGCAAGAACATGTATGGCATATTTTCTTGAAATTGCGAGCAAAAATGGACTTAAATAATCAGTTAACCAAATAGTTGCTGATGTTTTTCCTGTGAATTGACTGTTCAGTTAAATAACTAATCCTTTCAGCTGTAATGATAATGAATTAAAATTCTTCCCTGTATTTTGCCAAGGGAGCATGAAAGACAAGCAATTGCAGCACATCATTATCTATAATGCACGGTTGTTCAGTCAAATTAGATAATTAATTACACAATGAATTGCTGTGTTTCTTAATGGACTGAGCCTATGACATTAAGCACAGCACACAACAAAGTGTGAGAATGCTGCTCTTCACTCTGATAATAGGATTATTCTTTCTCAGACAATATAGAAGACCTTTGTTAATATGGACATACATTTAGGCATAGGTTTCTCAGATCAGGTGCACCTTTTTCAGATTTAAATTTATCTCATGGAGCATCACAAATGGAGTTCTGTCATTAATTTGTTTATTTTTTGTGTATTTTATCTGTGTGTTTCCAGGTCATTAACAACGCTTGTGCCACCCAAGCGATAGTCAGCGTTCTGCTCAACTGCTCCCATCTTGACATTTTGCTTGGAGACACACTGACAGAGTTCAGAGAGTTTTCACAGAGTTTTGACGCTGCTGTACGTTCATAGTATTTTTGTTTTGAAACCAAAAAACTTCGATTTTGAAATGTGTGCATTAGTTCTGGAATTCACTTATCTGTCCATTTGATGAATTTGTTTTCTGTTAGTGTTTTTGTTGTATGTGTATTTTGAACCTTACTATTGAAGTTCAGTGTCACCAACGTAACTGTAGGTATCTAAAATAATAAGCAGTATATTTTTCAGTACATTTTCTAAAAATAACATTTCTCCCTTCTTTCCAATAATACCACGATGACTCAGTTTTTTTTTTGTCACAAATGTTCAGGAGAACCAGGCTGTACTTTTTTAAACAATGCTCAACTTCTCATTTGGTTTGGAAAATCTCAAACTTGCTTCGACCGAGACATTGTTATTTTGTGTTATTTTGGAGACAGCAACAGCTAATGATGAGGCAAAACAAGCTGGGCTGGAATTGTTGCATATTAGAATCCTTATATTTATAGGCATGATGTAAACACATCAAATAAGTTATTTTCTGTAACTAGTACCTAATATTACAAATGTTAAAAGTACTGGTTGGATGCTTGATTTTTAAGAAAAGAATTTATTCCATTAAGTGCTTCATAATGTTGCTGATAAGTCTTGCACAGCATTATAATCCTGCTTCTCCCACTTGTCTCAGATGAAAGGTTTGGCTCTTAGCAACTCTGAAGTGATCCGACAAGTTCACAACGGCTTTGCCAGGTAAAATCCTACTCGCATCATCTCCATCACATCATATCTGGAGTAGCTCTGCTTCACTGGCTTCATGTTATTCACAATACTTTGTTCTAACTCGATGAAAAGTAATTGGCCTATTTGTTGCTAATGCATCACTGTGCTTTGTGGAACAGGCTCATGATCATTGGCTTCATTTTTTCTTTTTGTCACCCCAAAAAAATTAATCGGTGCCGAGTCACTTAGTCTTTAATACATGTCAAATAACAAATGTCCTCATGTGGCACTTTGACAACTTACAATGGACAGAATATCTGTAACTCACATTCATTTATTAACTTAGATTTGTGTTACGATCATCTTTGTGCAGAAAGCTTTACTGCTTCCTGCTCAGAGAAAACACTAACATTTGGATTTGTTTGTGTGATGCCTGATATTTCTTTTTATTCTCAATGTATATAATTGTCTTTTTTTATGCAGACAGCAAATGTTTGAATTTGATGCGAAGTCGTCAACAAAAGATGAGGACGCCTTTCACTTTGTGAGCTATGTTCCTGTAAACGGCAGACTATATGAGCTGGATGGACTTCGAGAAGGACCAATTGATCTGGGTATGCAGAAAAATGTGATTTGTTATTGTCTGTCCTTTGGTTTCAGAACCACAGCTGGCAGTTGAATGTTTAAAGTCCCTCAGTGGGAGGCCCTTTGGTGCACAGCTGAATGTTGTGTTGTTGGGCACGGCCCATTTCACCTAAAGCCACCTGTTTTATGACGGACTGCAGTTAGTGTACACACAGAGACCTGCATTATTATTTATTCCTGTCTGTTTCTCACCAGGTGCCTGCAGCCAGGATGACTGGATCAGTGCAGTTCGCCCAGTGATTGAGAAAAGAATACAGAAGTGAATATCTTTGTACATTTATTACAGATTCATTTCATCTTAACCAAGGGCATGTTTGAAGGGGAATATGCTGTATATTTAATTCTGACTTTGTTTGAAAGCACTAAGTAATGATTAGTTTCTGTATGTTATGGTTAGACTGAACTGAATTAATCTAAATCAGTGTTCTGTATGTTGAGATTGTTCATTCATCCATCCATTTGTATTCCTTGGCATAGTTTCTAATGCAATATTATTCTGTTTGTATGCTGACCTGGGTTTCTGCCAGCTAAATTATACTGTTACCTTCTGACATGGTGCACAATTTTGTTCACACTAAACTTTTATTGTTTCCCTTTTCAGGTATAGTGAAGGAGAGATCCGATTCAACCTAATGGCCATTGTGTCAGACAGGAAGATGATATACGAGAGGAAAATTGCAGAGCTCCAGACTCAGCTCACTGAGGTGAGCGGCTGCCAAAGAGCTGAATCCAGCACAGATTGACAATGAGTAATTCGTTCTTCTGCTTTCTCCCTGGGAGGAAACGTGAAATAAATCAGTTGTCATTGTTAAAAAGTTAGAGATTATAGCCATGGTGTGCTTAGGGTAAAAAACACCACAGTGTTGTATTTGTGAAATCGTGTTTGACGCATGATATTTGTTCACCATTCGATGTGGCCACCACACCCAGTCCGGCTTTAATGAAACACAACTTTATGATGATGCAATCCTGTGCTTGGTTGCAACTTTAAGAAAATGACATGGATTTTTCCAGATGGAAGAAGGGGTGATAGAGCTATATCTGGCATGTAATGAAAATTCCCTTCATCCATGTTCCATCCATATGGATGTCTTGACTGTGTGTGTGATATTATGAAATCTGAAAACTACCAGTGAATTCTGGAGTGCAATGTAGGGCCCATTGTGAAAGTTGGGTCTCCATCAGAGGTCGTATATCAGATTTGGCTCCCCCCCCCCCGTCAGTTTTTTTGTGTTGTTCCAATGCAGATAAAAGGAGTAAACACAAGAATACCAAAGAATTTGTGATTGCAACAGTTTTCTAGTAGGAGTGGTGTGTTATCTGACAGAAATGCAAGGGTGGCAATATGTTTGGCCATGACTGTATATATTTGTTATATTTCACAGTGCTGGTCAGAATTTATTCTACTTTTTTTCCCTTTTGTGCTCCCAGGATGAACCGATGGACACAGACCAGAGCAGCACGTTTCTTAGCTCCATCCAGTCAGAGATTGCCAAGTACCAGCTCCTTATTGAGGAGGAAAATCAGAAACTTAAAAGATATAAGGTGGGTTTCTCCTCAGTTCTACAATCCCTACAATTACATGGTGTATTTTTGTGACATACAGTGGGTACGGAAAGTATTCAGACCCCCTTAAATTTTTCACTCTTTGTTATATTGCAGCCATATGCTAAAATCATTTAAGTTCATTTTTTTCCTCATTAATGTACACACAGCACCCCATATTGACAGAAAAACACAGAAT